ACCACGTTGTATGTAAAAATTCTTTATTTAAAAAAAAAATTAAGGAAATCGTCGGAAGGAATTTTTTTTCCCCATAAAGGGCCATATAAAACAATTGACTATCGGGGTAAAACGATACTAGAAGAAAACTTCGTGTCTAAAAACATGAATTGTAATGCCTTTGGAGCTTTAACGCCTTTTAAAGGTAGGATATCCTTCGCCTGCCTCCTTGCAAATGAAAGAGAGAAAATGCTCAAAATTGACGCTCGAGCTGCGGCAGCGGCACATGCCGGGCCCTGCCGGCGCAGCCAGTCGCCGCTTTTGGCATACTCATGTTTTCAGTGATATTTTTTTCCCCCGTTCGGAAGACTGCCTTCTTTCTTGCCTAAAAAGTCAGTAAAAATCGTGATTTTGGTCAGGGAAAAGTCAGTAAAAATTGAAAATCCGTAACCTGTAACAACCCTGCTGAGATCAGATGAGAGAGATGAAAATTAGTATACCCTTAAAGCTACACTGAAACCTGCATATGTGCATTTCAATGCGCGTTACCTAATCGGATCACTTCAGGAGAAGGGCTTCGCTTAACAACCAGTGTATTTCATTACGTTTTCTCCGCCACTGCAGACGGCGAATAGTGCCACTGGTGCCAGCAGCCTTGCAGAAGAGATGCGGTTGCGGAAGTTGGAGGAAGAGAATGCCGAGTTGAGAGAGCGGTTGGCAGCTGTTGAGGTAAGTGGACCTTAGACTATACATTGAGGAATTAAGTCTGCAACTGCTAGAATCTTGTTAGTGTGCATCTGCAAGTTAAGTACTTGCACGTGCACAACTACGGAATTGTGTTCAACTCAGTGTGCACGGGCTGGTGTGTTGTGTAACTCCTCAGTTAGACACTTCCTAAGATTAAACGCCCACTGTTCAGGAAGTGCTCAACAGATTCGCTGTACACTTGCAAATAAGTAGTATGGGAGGCACTTTTCTACCGTTTTGCCTACCTCGCAGGGGCTCTGGTCTGGTGCCGGGCGGCTCGCCTCGGCGCAGGCGGTTGGGTCGTGGTGGGGGGATGGGTTGTGGAGGGGGCTGGTGGCGGTGCGTAGTGTACCGGTTTTTCATTGGAGGAGCGCCCTGGGCCGCCGCGCCGTGGCCTGTGGCCCCGGCGTGACGGAGTGAAGGGGGTGCCTTTCGCTTGCGGGTAGTCTACTTCGCAGGGGCTGGTGGCGGGGCGTAGTGTAACGGTTTTTCGTTGGAGGCGCGCCCTGGACCGACGCGGCGTGGCCTTTGGCCCCGGCGTGACGGAGTGAAGGGGGTGCCTTTCGCTGGCGCAAAAAATGTCAAGAGTGGGATTCGAACCCACGATCCCATACTGGGAAGCAGACGTGAGTCTACCGCCTTAACCACTCGGCCATCCTGACATCTTATGCTTAGGCTTTACGTGGTCCGGTCTCATGGCATTGTACAGTACGGCGTATGTGCATTCCACGGCCGGGTCACACAGGTGTAGCCCCTTGGTTTCCCAGACCCAGAGTAATCACTTGTCTGCATTGTTTTGTTTTTTCGTGCGATGCGCGGCCTAATGTGGTTCTGTCAGTTTTTCGGGTGCGATGTTATGATTCTACGATTTATATGTCTGTGATAAGGGGTCGTGTGGTGTGGGAAGGGTTTTGCCAAAGTCACAGGTGTTTAAGTGTGCTATTAGTCCCTTCGGTGAGTGTGGGAACAGGGACACCGAGAGTCGAGTTCGGACTCATTATAAGACAATCATCGTCAGAGGTGTGGGTCGCCGGAGTGCTGGAGGCTGTCGCCCCCCATGGATAGCTACCGTCATTTGTTTTGATTTGGGATGGTTCAGCGATTTATATGTTTGTGATGTGAGCAAGGGTCCTGTTGTGTTGAAAGGTTTGCCAAAGTGATAGGTGTCTAAGTGGACTATTAGGCCGCCCTTCGGTCGGTGCGGGGACAAGGGGCATTAGGAGTAGGGATCGGGGTCCTTAAAAGATAATCACCTTCAGAGATGCGGGTCACTGGGGGGCTGGAGGCGGGGCCCCGTGGGATTGCCACCGTCATTTGTTGTTTTGATTTTGGGATGGCATGTGCCAAAGTCACAGGTGTTTAAGTGGGGCTATTAGACCCTTCGGGCAGTGTGAGAGCAGGGACACCGGGAGTCGTGGTCGGGCATGTTATAAGACAATAAAGGTGTGGGACGTTGGGTTGGAGGCTGTGCGCACGTGGATAGACGCCGTCATTTGCTGTTTTGATTTTTGTGGGGGAATAGGGTTGACCAATAGGCATCGTGTAAGGGCGGGGCTGAACAGGGGCCTAGGCGATTCAGGGTGGGGGGTTTGCGCCCTAAGGAGCTAGGGGTCCCGGAGGACCCCGGCGGTCTTAGTACAAGTCAGTGGTGTGACGAACTTTGAAGGTGCAGCATCTAGCCTTGTAGAGCTCTCGCGTCGACTTGTGTTCGTGTCGGTTGGTTCGTGCGGCAGTGATTATAAAGTGATTGTGCAGCAGTGTGATCAGCATCACCATCAATCGACTCTTCATTCCGCTTGGACAGTGCAAATCTTCCGTCTTTCGGAGCAGCAGCAGCAGCATCTCAAGACAAAAGCGGTAAGTGCAGTTTTCTTTTTTTTAAATCACACTTGCAAAGTCCTTTGAGCGTGCGCGCGCGTGTGTGTGTGTGTGTGTGTGTGTGTGCGCGCGCGTTGATGGGTGGGTGGGTGTGCGTGTGCGAGCGCCGTGCGTGTGGGTCTCGCAGAGGCCGGTGGCAGGCGGGGGGGGGGCAGGTATACGACCGGAGTGTGCCACAGGAGCAGGGAGAGAGAGAGAGAGAGAGAGAGAGAGAGAGAGAGAGAGAGAGAGAGAGAGAGAAGGAATAGTACTTTGCAAGTGTGATTTTAATCAGTTTTTACTGGGAAATCAAAGCTCATTTCATGTCGTTTGTTCGTAGGCTACTATGGGAGTTTACGAGTACAAAGGATGTCTGTTCGAGTGTTCACCACCTGGGACAAGTGTTGCTCATTGCGTCAGTGCCAACCTGCGATGTGGGCGTGGCTTTGCCCGATTATGTCGCGGACAGGACTTCGCGGATCTGCGACGTCAACAAGTCCGTGTGGGTGGCGTCGCAGTAGGGTGGCAAGATGGTCGCCAAATATTTAATTTGGTGACCAAAAAGCACCACACGGACATACCCACGCTCTGGGCTATCCGGGAGAGCCTGTATGAACTGAGGCGTCTGTGCTACATGCACGGCGTGCGTGATATTTGTAGCCCCGCCTTGGCCTCGGGGCTTGACACCCATAATTGGGTCACCATTAGGGAAATGCTGCATGACATTTTTTGGAATTGTGATATAAACATTCACGTTTATCACCTGTAATTTAAGTTAAATAAAAAGCTGCGAAAAACGACATGAAAATGAGCTCAGATTTCTTATTTATGTGGCGAGTGTCCTGATGTCCTGTATATGTTTCAGATTGATTTAAAAATCACACACACACACACACACACACACACACACACACACGTGCAAAGAGGTGTGCACTCGTTTGTCTTTTATTTCTGTGTCTTTTCATTGAATAAATATGGCCGGTATGTGGGAATCTATGGACGATGCCGATTTGGAAGCTTGCGGGGACGCAGCTCTCTTTGTTGGATTAAGCACATCCTGGAGCGAGCTAGAGGACGCTGCCGCGGGGCAGACAGCAGCAGCAGCAAGCCCTTCGGCGGGGAGGGCGGGGGAGGG